CGAGTTATCGTGTACACGGACGGACGGACAGACGGACAGACGGACGGACAGACAGACATGGCTTAATCGATTTCTTTTTTCATCCTGATCATTTATGTATACATTTGTCTATATCTATCTCGATTCTTTTGACTGTTACAAACAACCGTTATGTGAACAAAATTAATATACCCTTGTGCACAAGTGCGCTCGGGTATAATTACCGAATAGCCTTTAACTTGTTGACTCTGGGACATACGAATTGAACTATACATACTTTTATCTCGGAAACGCCTCCGAAGCTTCAGATATCGCTTCAAAATCCGAGCCCTTGTGATAATTTATTAAAAACTTTGAACGCTTATGTTGAAAAATCGCATTGTTTGAGTTATGATTGTCTGTCAGTAAATGTGCGATATGTATGTATGCAAGTATATAACCGCACCGGCAAACTGTCCGCATATACATGTAAAAGTTTTTGAATGAATGCCGCAAAAGTAATACGCTCAAAGCTAAAATCTTGCAAAAATTATAGTTTACCGCAACAAAAAAGAATTAAAAGAGTTAATGATGCACAACATTTTGGCATTTTGTGGCGTCGACTACAATACAGCTGCTTATTTTGGGCAGCATTATTTGTATTTAGGTATGTATATGTGTTTAAAAATAAATAAAATTGTCTAGGTCGCGAACATATTTTGCTATGGAAGGTTTAAAAATATTTCAGAAAAGATACATATCTACATGTTTACTGGCGCATATTAACCCATTTGGCTGATTTTCATGGATTACGTTATTTTAGTGTATTAAAAAAAAAAAATAGCTCACATATGAACTCATTAGTAGTTTAATATTTGTCATGAGGCAAGTATGTTTTTACATGCACATATGTACAGAGCTTAATCGTGAGTTCAATTTTCGGGGCGAAATAAAAATCAAAAATTGTTTACGCCCAAGTATGATAGACATTTTATTTTATTACATTATATATTGTTTATAAATGAATTACATCTTTATAAGTCATATGTCTTTGAGAAAAATACACCGTACTAATTTTAAAGTTTCAAAATTACATTTCTCGACTGAAAAATAGTATATTCGAGCTAACTCGACGTCACACAGTGTAATTTTTTAACCCTTCATGTCAATTAATCGTAGCGCTTTCGACAGAAGCAATATTTTGAAATGCAACAAAATGGCTTTGAAAGCTAATGTAATTTCCTTTCAAGGAAAAATATTGCCATTCAGCTACAATCACTTCTTGACCTTAAAAAAATTTGTCAAAACTAGAGTTCTTTGAAAAAAGCATGCAAAATCCAATGGATATAAAAAAAAAACTTTTTTTGTATTTTTTATTATACTAACATTATAGATTTTAAGACGAGAAACACGATTCCACTGTTTAAAAATGGAAAAAAAATTTCAAACCCCTCAATTTGAAAAATGCATTATGTATTGCATTTTTTATGATTTGCATGCATCTGTGCATCCTTCACACATTTTTATATCCCTCGAACAACAAGTCAGTTAAACTTCGAAATTTCATTCGACATTTTACGCAATTTTTTCTAATTTCGGAGTAAAACCTAGTACAGCAGTTTCGAAGCTTGGTTTATACTACTATATTGTTATAACTAGGCTCCCAGGGGGCCTAGGGCTTTGGCTCGAATTAAAGGTCTTGAATTGCACTTATTGTTCGCACTGAAAATAAAGTCTGCGTAAATATAACGAAAATTTGCATACATTTTACGAAAGTTTTCGTCATTTTGAGCCACGAAAGTTTTCGTTGATTGTATAAAACCGTTTTCGTACATACTACGAAAATATGACAC